ACTATTATTTCTATAATTTTAGTTTGAGTTTTGATGCTTTAATTAATTAATATATATAGCAGAATCAATAAATTACAAGTTTAAATGCTCAAACATACATGTACACATCACATAAATACATACAAAAAGGTAAAAATTCTTAATTGGCATGGAAACTTCTCTTTTTTTTTCATATCCACCATGTTTTCTCTACCAGATTTAAAGTTCATAAAATTTTCCATCCCTTATCTATGTGATGTTATTTTTGTTTCTTTATACCTTAACGCAGGATGTATAGATAAATATATTCTTCCGTAATACTTTTTTAAAATAGTAATTGAAAGAATTAAAAAGAAGATTGTTTATAAAGTCATAGATTTATTGCATTAAATGTAATTACAACAAATTGATTCTAGAGTTGAGTGATTTTAATTTTTCATTTCATTCTGAAAATGCATTTTATATGACAAATTAGTACATATATAAGACAAAATTTCTAATACATTTGAATTTAAAATTGCTATTAACAATTACTGAATAAGTTAAAGAAAATATATAAAACAAATATTAAATGCATAACAGCTGTGTGAGTCACACAAAGAAAACAGGAAGATGAAATATGTGTAAAGGAAGTGAGGTGTGTTTTTTTTTCAGGAAGTCAACATGGAGCAAATTAACTTTACTGCAATTTTTCATAATTATCTGGAGACATTAAAGAAACAGATGCACCTGAAATCCTACTTTATACCTGTGATTATTTCTAATTTATGAATTAGTATCACATCTTTAAACAGAGAGGAAAAACATTTGGTGAGATTATATCATACTCAAAAACAAAAACAATCTTCACTAAACAAATAAATAATAAGTTAAAATAAACTGACAAACTAAAATAATAAACTGAAGGTTAGTTCCGTGACAAGTATGGCCGATGATANGTATTATTTTTCAAATGTTTAAAAAATGTGTGTTAGAGAGAGAGAGAGAGAGAGAGAGATTTTAATGATGATTAACACAGACCTTCAACTTTATTCAATAAAATACTTGGTATATGTCAAATGAATTAATTAAAAGATAATCAATGGAAAACAAACATTAAGAACACCTAACTCAATCTATAAACCAGCAAGAGCACCACTCACTTGAGTTTTGCTTGTTTTTAAGTTAAATTAGGTGTTCTTAGTGTGATATTAATCAATATCTAGCAGTCATCCTTTGAAAACAAACATATAAAGATGCACAACAAGATGCACAACAAAGCTTAAAGATAAGAACAAGAATTATTGAAAATTTATTATTTTTGCACTTAAGTGTCAAAATGTTTTAAATTTAAATGACCTAAAACACAGTAAATTATGAAATATAAATTTATACATGATCAAAAACTGAAAAGACTCATCTTTTGGAAATGAACTCAAGAAAAATGAAGATAGCTTTCATAATGACTCTTTAAGTTTGGTAAGGAAACATTTAGATATACATTTTCATTAACTGCCTGTTCTTATGAAGAAGTTTATATAGTTTTCTAAAGAGGTAATTTTTTAAAAACTAGTTTTTGCTAAATAATTTTTCATCATTTCTTTTTGATTAACTACAAAGTTTTAAAAATAAAAGTAACCAGAAAAGCATATAATTGTTTAAAACAAATAATCATTAAACAGTATTTATTGGCATTTTTTTAATTATGTAAGTAATAGTGATAAAATAAAATGGCAATAATTGAATGTCTTCAAAATATGCATGAAAATGTCCTAAGAAATTTGAACTCTGGTAACCACTTCACACTAACAGTTTCCTGTTAGTGAGAAGTGGTTGTCTTCGATATCTTTTGGTAACTTTCAAATAACTTTAATGTAGAAGTTATGGAAATGAGGTAAGTGTTAGTGTGAAGTGGTTATTAGAGTTCAAATTTGTTGAAAATTTTTAATAGCTTTTTGATTAACTGTAAATTTACCTTAATTTACAGATTTTTTAATTTTACAACTATTTTCAAGGTGTACTTCATATTCCGACTGTTTTATTTTAATTAGGCAAAATAAAGCTTGCTCATATTGCTAATCTTTCCCTTACTTTGTGTATGTGGGAAATGTTTTAATGGAGTATATATAAATAACAACTATGTAGTTTACAAGTACTTTTAGAGTTATTTCACTCAGCTTCAGGAAAGCAAAAACAAACATATTACTAAAGAACATTGGGATATTTAATCCTGAGTCAACTTTGATCACTTCCCTTTCTACATCAAAGGGACTCTAGCTGTGCCCTTACCTCTCTGGTAAAATTGAAGCATCCAGGTAGAAAGAATTGTCAAGTTTTCTTTCCTGATTAGAATAGGCATGTCTACCTACTAAAATATTATATACAGTACAGTATATATAATATATTTTTTGCTGGACAGAGTACAGATAGTGTTGAGTTTCTTATTATATCTTCCTATCCTTACATATAAAATGTAATATAAATGTATTGATATGTATATTATATGGTAAAAACCTACGTTACATTAAACAATACAAAATGTGATTATAATGTTATATGTACTTTCTAAATATGGAGTAATCAAAATAAAAAAAGTAAATTTTTGATGACATTAAAAACTGTATATAACAAATTTAATAACAATAAGATTAAATTATAAATGTAAAAAAAAATATATGAGAATCAAACCAGCATATTAATGCTCTTCATGCAATTCCTTAACTAATCACACCACACCACGAACACCAGAGTGATGTTTCTGCATAGATATTAATAGTTTTAGAAAAACTTTAATCGTGAGTTTCTCAAGAATGCCTGAATACTGGGTCCTGCAGCTTTGGTAGAGTTTAAGTACAAGTAAATACTACACGCCCACAAAATTTTGCCCACAACAGAAATTACTTATGCAATAAAAGAAAATTTAAATATTTAAATAAACAAAAATTAATCCATATTTATAGTTTATTTATTAATCATCCAGAAAATTTTTATGAATGATTTAATTTATTTTCCTGATAAAAATGAGAAAAATAGATTTATTGATGATAAGCATAATTTTAGCATTGATTAATTTTAACAAATTTACAGATTATTCAACTGTTTTGATAAACATTTCTATAAATTATCCGTACAAAAATTATATTATTTCAGAAATTTACAAAATGAAAATAGATATAAACTTATAATTATCCTTAAATATATAATATTTCAATGACACTCGATATATCATATATCATCTATCATAACCGTTGTTTCCACTTATAACCTTGATAGTAGTGCTTAAGATTAAAAACAGCAGGATTAAAATATTTATTATAGTTATAATGAAATAATAATTATTATTTTCTTTATTAAATTTATTCTTATAATTTTTTTTATTTTCTAAAACTCTATAATATGATATTATTTACATTTCTGAGTATTAAATATTAATTGGTCGTTTCTTCCCACATTAATGAGAAGAAACGACCAATTAATATTTAATACTATGGCAATATCCAATGAGCAGAATAAGTCACCTCATTAATGTGGGAGGTGACTTATTCTGCTCATTGGATATTGCCATGTATATTTTATATACAGAATATAAATAAAAATAAATCATCAATATTAAACTAAAAAAATAATTTATAGATAATATTTAATTTTAAAATTTAGTTTGACTAATTCAGATANTTAATTTTTCATTTCATTCTGAAAATGCATTTTATATGACAAATTAGTACATATATAAGACAAAATTTCTAATACATTTGAATTTAAAATTGCTATTAACAATTACTGAATAAGTTAAAGAAAATATATAAAACAAATATTAAATGCATAACAGCTGTGTGAGTCACACAAAGAAAACAGGAAGATGAAATATGTGTAAAGGAAGTGAGGTGTGTTTTTTTTCAGGAAGTCAACATGGAGCAAATTAACTTTACTGCAATTTTTCATAATTATCTGGAGACATTAAAGAAACAGATGCACCTGAAATCCTACTTTATACCTATGATTATTTCTAATTTATGAATTAGTATCACATCTTTAAACAGAGAGGAAAAACATTTGGTGAGATTATATCATACTCAAAAACAAAAACAATCTTCACTAAACAAATAAATAATAAGTTAAAATAAACTGACAAACTAAAATAATAAACTGAAGGTTAGTTCCGTGACAAGCATGGCTGATGATATAGTACACTGTATATAAAATAAATGATGTTTACAAATGACCTATAAAAATTTATATCAACTTTTCTTAGATTCCTTGAATAAATTAAAAGATAACATATCTTTGTATAGAAGTCAAAAATCTTTAGTTCATTAAGTATCTTTGAAGATACTTAGCTTAGCTTAAAATCACAAATAGCTGAAAAATGCTAATTAATCTTCCAACCACTTGGAAACTAATTAACAAATTAAGGGCTCTTGACTTCTAGGAAAAGTTTAATATATTTTAAAAACAGTGTACTGTTTGTGTATAGAAATGCAACATGTAGATGATCTGCCAAGGGGAATGCCTCCCAGGAGGATTTTCTATGGAGAAATTAGTCCCCATTTAGGTGTTAAATTTGTGTGAAAGCATATTCTGAACTAAACTGAAAATTGTCATTTAGAACCATTATTTAAAAGTTAAACAGCATTAGTTTATATTTATAATAATTTTATTGTCTTGTTTGATCTCTAGGATATAAATGGTTTAATTATTTGTCGAATTTTAACTTTTAAATATTGTGCAATACAGCCAAAATGTCTTTATTTCGTATAATCATTCTAAATTCAGTTAGCCGCCATCTTGTTTCAAAATGGCGGCCGAAACACAATGTAGAAGAAGCCTAGTTTAGGCATTGTAATTTCATTTTAAAAATTATACAGTAGAAATGATGAAATTATGACTGGGCGAATATACATTATTCGATTGATTTGTAAAAAAAAATATTTTTTAAATGCGCCATAATAGATATCGTCTGGTTAGGATCGTAAGTTTACGTCAATTTGACGTCACCTTTTAGATTTGCTCGTTGTAAAAATGAAAAGGTGACGTCAAATTGACGTAAACTTACGTTCCCAACCAGACGAACATCTCATATTTTCAAAAATGGCGTCCATCAAAGTTATGTAAGTTTATATTCGTTTTATAAGAAATATTATTTATAAATGTAATAAAAATACATTCTATTTCGTATATTATAAGAAAAACATCTCATTAACACGAAAACAATCGTCTTAATACTCTACAACACATAATAATCGAAACATTACATATTGAAGGTCAGAAAGGAGGAAAATCGGCCCCTTCGTGAAGGAAAGTAATAGTCATTTAGAAATAATTACCATCTAGTTAAATTGCTATGCTTTTAGATAATTACCTAAGCGAATTATATGGAAACATTACTTAAAATAATGAACATTAAGCGATATATCGGTAGGGATTATAGTCTGAATGGGAGATAGCCACTGGTGGGCACGGGGTCTTCTAGGAACCGCTGTGAATGAGGGGATTTCTAAGTGGATAAACCCACGACTAACCACCAGTGTTCAGTTCATTACTGAGCACCGGTAGTTGGTCGTGGGTTCGAGCCTGGCCAGGTTTCCGGGTTTTCTTCACGATAGTAACACCTAAACAGGAGCCAGTTTCCCATAGAGTCCCTCGACAGATCGCCCATGTTTCGTTGCCATATACGAATAAAACCAAACCAAACCAAACTGAATCTAGCACATTCCCCTCATTCAAACGAGCGGTTAAGATGGCAACCTATCACTCTGGGGGATCTGGTATCGAATCCGGACGGATCGAAAAAAACCCCAGGAATTTTTCATGGGAACGTTCCTTGTGGATCTGGCCGAACCCAAAATCGGCTTGATAAGAAGAAGACCCTCTCCTTAGTGTCCACAGAGCGGAAAGAAACCGAATATCGATAGTAATTAGTTAAAGATGATTAAACTGAGAACAAATTAATTTTTTTGGACCTAAACCGCTTCAGGACTCATAACAAACAACATGACTATTCGTTTCTATTGATGTATACTGTATTACGTTATTGACACTATAAATCTAGCAAATCATCGTTTCATTGAAACTTACAATGAAATTCTTTCATACAAGGTTTTCGCAATGGAAAGTCAAGCTCTCTCATGAAACTCCTTTGTACAGTATATAATTGAATTATAAAGTCTTTGTAGTTCAATGAAATTCTTTCACGTAACATCACACAAGAACAGAACCTTAAGCTCTTTCACGTACATAACCCTTTACACATAATGGGCTCTGTAAACTCTATGGTACCCATTAAGTTTAATGGGCTGATATCATAGGTTCTTTAAAATAAATACCATTAAAAATTATTGTATATGTTACACCTTTAATCATTCGTCACAATATAATAAGGTGTAGCTTGTAATTTAATTGTATATCATTCTTGTAAGCTGTTATTTAAATAAAGTATAATTACACAACAATAATTTTCCCATCTTTCCAATGTTAATTTATACAAGAAGAGAATTCATAGACAAAAAAATATAATACAGTAATTCTTCAATAAAAAAATCCATAAACAAATAATTGTAATTATTATTTAGAATTTAATTACAATTAATTTGAAATTATGAATTCTTATTTAGTTCAAATCACTTTGACTAGATATAAACTTTATGTGAAATTATATTCAACTAAATCTATATCTAAATTAATAATGAAATTTAGGGAATTTGATAGACAATAATTACATTTGTCGATATTATCATCGCCTAAATGAATAATTCAAATATTAGTAAATTATATCCTATACAAGTTATTAAATTATCCAGAGAACTTACCCATCCCGAAGGGAGTTTAAATATATTAACTCTTAGAATAAATTGTTCAAAAGTTTTGCATTAAAATTTTCTCGGCTTTAATTACAAAATTGTTATTCGTGGCATTAAAAAGTTCAAAGATTATGGAAGACAGAAGCACAAATTAAAAATCCAGTTAGGTAACTTTACTGGCAAAAGTTAAAATTGTGTGTGGTGCCATCTGTTATGATATTTTATTTTAAAAACTTTATATTATAAAATGGCAAAAAGCTTAATTTTGAAGATAGGGACAGGTTTTATAGAACATTGTAAATGCTAATAACGAGTAAAATTGTCATTAAGTCCGACCTCTCTCGAGAGGTGACACGTGACCGCCTCTATCTCCCCACATCCTCGACCTTTAACCACCAAAATTTAACAGTATCAATGCCCCTGATACACAAACCTCCGCGAAAATTTTCAAAAATTTCCGATAAAAGGCACGGGAGTTATTAAGCTTCAAAGTGGGTAAACAAACAAAATCGTGCCCCCCACATACGAACATCCATACAGAAAACACCCACATTTTTTCTTCCATTACTCGACGTTTCGAGGTCCCTCGAGTTAAAAAATGTAAAAATCTTGGAGGGGGTCAATTTTTGAGCGATCGTCATAGTTTCTCTCTGTTATATACGGTATAATAACGAAGAAATCCTGAAAAAAAAATCTTTTTTTCAGGATTTCTTCGTTGAAACCTTTAAACTATGAATCTTTAGAATAGTGTTTCCTAACTGTTTAATTGACACCCACTTTAAACAATATTAGATGACCTTAACGTTACCAAGAACAGTTCATGAACCTCAGAAGGTCGTGACCCAGTAGTTAAACAACTTCGAATCCGAATAATATTTTTCATAAACTTAGTCCACACTAAGAAGGGGAAAAATCTATTGACTTTCTCATAATAATTCCATGTATTTATAATTTTGAAATATTAAGACATTTAATAAATGATGAATGTATAGATTTTACAGAATCCTCCCTTTGAAACCTTCAAATCTTTTAGACATTATTCTTAACAGATGTTAATTGATGACCGTCTTCAACAGTAAAACGACATAATTAATAAGGGTGCTGGTGACACATCGATTAGTTTAAACTGCATCAGAATAGTTAACAAAAAATTCAGCTCGTTAATCATAGAAAAGTTGTATATAAAAATTTCACACAACAGTAAAACCTGTTTAACACGGAACGCGATGGTAGGCCAGAATTTTTCGTTTTGTAGAAGGTTGTGTTTTAATTAATTAATTAACTAACTTGAGGGTTGAGGAGTAACAGCGGTGTTGTATTGTCAAGAGCTTCTTTCTAGACAATGAAAGTACTATTTTGGCTAAAAGGGTGAAGTTACCCATGATTTCAGCCCGCAAGTTACAGCATTAACTATGATTTAGAATTTATCAGCTGTTAAACCGAAAAAATTCCTCTTTACTCAGGTTATATCACATGCAATTCGTTTCCAAGTCTTCTGCTTCCGCGTTAGACAGGCTTCCCGCTTAGAGTAGTATTTTTCATAATAGAACGTTCCGTTACGAAACTGGTTTTCCGTTTAGGCAGGTTTATAGAAGAAAGTCTGTTTTAGACAGGTAGCGTTTCCAGTTGTTAATTATAATTGCGAATATTTCTACAAGTTTGAATTGTTTGTATAGGGCAACGCGACAAGTGGGCGATTTACTGAGGGGATACCACCCGGGACGACTTTTTATGGAAAATTGGCCCCCTATTTAGATGTTACAAACGTGAAGAAAACCAAGAAAACTCCACGCGCCATCTCGTTGGTAAGGCACGAACCCACGACCAGTGTTCGGTGGTTTTATCCACTCGACCACCGGCGAGCCATATTTTTCCACGTATTTTTACTCATTACGATAATATTAACAATTTTATTGTTTGCAGTTTGTGTTGTGACTGCGTCAATTAGATTCTAAACTAAAGATCGAATCAAAATAAACGCAATCTATCGAATAGTCACATTGCTAAAGTGTGTGTTAGTATCGTTTTAACTTATCTGACGACACGTAATTACTGATTTTAAATGGAAACAGAGGCATTTAATTACACGTTCAAACGAAATAGTTGTAAACAGCAGAAGCTGAGACGAATGGCGCTGTTATAAATTAGTTTCTCTTCAGATAAAAATCTCTCTTATACGTAATAAATTACAAAATACCAATTATATAAAGTTGTGTAAATACTAAAAACTGCGTCCATGGCTTTTTCCTTGGCAGTTATTATAACTACATTATCACCGAAAAATTCCATTATTTTAATAACTAGTTGCGAAATGCTGAACCATGATAATAGTCCATAAATATTATTAATTATTATACTTCTGTCTTTACTCTATAAACATTATCGATAATAGGCATAATATACTGTAATAGGCTATAAACTGATAAAATAATACGTCAACGTCGGTATTATAGCCTATAAGCAATTACATTTTCTGATTTATTTTCTCGTTTTTCCCTCAGAAACGTATTAGAAATTAAATTTAATTTAATTTCTAATACGTTTCTGTGAGCTAAATCTTAAACAAAAAAAGCTGGCAACGTTGCTGCTAGACTTTCCCGGCATTCTTTTTTGATTTTCTTCCTTAAATTAATAATTGCTACCGGTACCATTACCTTTAAGTCTTCAGATTGGTTCGGAAGATATTAAAGGGGCCATATATCCCGAACCAGTGGTCCGATTTTCCTGAAAATTGCTAGATACATAAACCACCCTGCAAAATTTCAGAAGTTTTCGACAGAAGGCACACGAGTTATTAAGCTTCAAAGTGAATGAACAAAATCGTGCCCCTTAAACACATTGGCATATAGGAAAAACCCCGAATTTTTTTTTCGTATTTCTCGACGTTCCGAAGTCCAAAAAAAGTGAAAATGTTGGAGGTCATTTTTTTGACCGATTGCCTGACTTTCCCTCTATTATATAACAGCTGGAAAAGTAAACATTTAATAATAAAATTAAACACAATGCCAATTCTAATTACTATACGCACATTTACAGCATCGATTTCTAAACTTTATCCTCTATGTACGGTACTGTAATTGCGTGTACAATAAACGATACAAAGTTCACATTTTACAGTTTGGTTTACGCGAAAAAGTTATAAAATTGAACGAAGGATTTTTTTTAAAGTTATTTTAAATGAAGTTTATTGAATTATTCATTCGATTCTCCTGCGGGTTATTTACATAGAAATTATTACAGAATAGGCAGTTTAAAATTATTTATGTAATTTCGATTAAGAAATTACTATTCACTCCGAACAGAAATTTAATAGGAGTTACTGATTACCCATTTACCACTAAATTTCTTACATTAGAAATCATTCCAATAGTTCATATGATTTATTAATGTAGAAAGATAACGTGCAAGTATCAAGAATTATTCATATTATCATTAATTTACTTTAGATATATTTTTTCAACCCTTATCTTGATCTCACTATACAATTACATTCAAACAAGCAACGATTCAGCTAAGCTAAAATCCAATAGATATCAATATTTACTTGACCTTAAACTTTCTACTATAGAAATAAAATACAGTTGACCTCTAAGCAATCATTTGAAATGTCATTTATTAGCAAATTGTATAGGTAGATAACAAATGTAGAATTATTTTTAAGCGATTAAACTAAATACATAAATGGATAAAAAAAATATTAGATACCACATGATTACAGTTTATGCAGGTTTTATGATTATTATGCCTGTAGGAAGAGTTAAATTTTTAAAAAATATAAACAAACTCTTCTGTTAGTACAGTAAACGTCACACAATTTTTTCATAAAATTAAACAAATGTTTCCAGGAAAAACTGTTGTGTGTGTTGAATGATGGGAGAATTCTTACATGCAATTTATTAAATCCTGTATATGTTTTATCATAGCAATTATTTTAGTAAATTGATTATACTAAATTAAATATATTTATTAAGTTTTAACAATCTAGTAATATCATGTTTTTGTAGGTCTTCAATATGATCACTATTTTCTATACAAATCTCTATTATCTCTGCTTACTCATTATTATGCAAATCCTTATAAAATATATATATATTTACTGTATTCTACTTGCACCTTTTAAAAATGTAACTTTTACAAAATTTTCAGTTCAAAATTTTATTATTATTATCCTACACATTACATCTTATATTACATTTTATGGAATAATAAAATGAATTAATTATATTGAAATGAAGTTCATTACGACTGTGTTGTGTTGTGTATGTGTTATACACTGTACTGTAAATGTTTTCCCTTTTTAACAAAAGTTTATCTATAAATTTTATTTTTATTTTTTTAATTTAAAAGTAGAGACTTGTGTATAATAAACAATGATAATATTGAAAACATATAAAAACATCATATTACTGGATTGTTAAAAATTAATAAATATATTTAATTGAGTGTAATCAGTTTATTAAACTAATTGTTATAATAAATATGTACAAGATTTAATAAATTGCATACAAGAATTGTTCTATCATTCCACATACACACTTTTTATTATTATTCTACAAACATTCATTCCAACTGTTGATACGTTATTTAATATATATAAAAAAAATATCAAGCAACGAGTTGCTTAACTTTCCCGACAACATTTACTGGCGCCATCTCTTAAAAATATGATATTTTATTTTAAAAAAATTTTATAACTATTATAAAATGGCAAAAAGCTTAATTTTGAGGGTAGGGATTGGTTTTGTAAAAAGTTGTAAATGCTAATAACGAGTAAAATCGTCATTAAGTCCGACCGTATTGAAGATACGATCCCTTTTATCTGCCCACCCCTCGACCTTTAACCACCAAAATTTCATAGCTCCAATCCGCATAATAAACAAATCTCCATGCAAAATTTCAGAAATTTTCGACAAAAAGCACTCGAGCTTAAGCTTTAAAGAGGGTGAACAAAATCGTGTCCCCCAGACATCCACACGTACAGAAAAAACCCCGATTTTGGGGGGATTTCTGGACGTTTCTAAGTCCCCCGAGTCCAAATATGTAAAAATATGGAAGGGTCATTTTTTCCGGGTCGCCATATTTTTCCTCTGTTATATATAACAGCCGGGAAAGTAATAATCCTGACATTTTAAGTCAATTTGATAAATTATAATAAATTAAGTTGTAGACTCCCGGTTATTCAGATGAATGGGGAAAATGTCATCCCGGTTAATTCAGTACCCAGTAAACAAAATAGATAAATTTTTAAAAAATAAGTAAAAATAAAAAAAAGAGTGAACAGAAGAAAGCAGGGAACACTACCTCACGTAGTTAATCCTAATAAGTTAAACCGGACACTTCATCAGTTTATCCCCTTCTCCTCCTTCTGAACCGCAAAAAAAGCGGATGAGCCATGAACTTAATGACTTGTCTACAAGCATTTTTGGCATCCCGGATAATCGAGAGTCTTCCGCATTTAATTTCAAAGTTTTATTTTGTACAAAAGTTAACAAAATTTAGTACGACAGCGCGCAATTTTTCAAAAATTTTCCAATAAATCCTGTAACGAATCAACCGAATAATCGATATTCTACTTTCAGAACACGTTCTGGCTCATTAAATATTGCTTGATTAATTTAATAACTGTAAGATGTTATCGGAATTAACGAGAAAAGAAAAGCAAGGATATTTCCTTGTAGGAATTCAAGGGCACAATAAACAATAAGAGAATTTACCTCTTCGATTACTCCCTAAATTTACTTTATACAATAATTATTTCTCTTCGGAAATTTGATCCACGGTCGATTGTATAACAAGCTTTAAATATATTATATTGTAAATTATATATAAATATATATATATTTTTTTTTATATTTTAAATACAGAGACGAGCAATTTAAAAATCGCCTTTTCCTGGTGTTTATATTTGTTAAACGAAAAGAATTGTTAAGAAAAATGTGAATATTTATCTCTCCGCGTGACGTAAAGCATCATAAATTTTGAATAATGAGATATGCAAAACATCCCGGAAATGATTGCATTAATAATGAGAGGTAAGATAGCTTTTCTATACATAGCTATGATCTGTCCAGTACTGTACATATAAATGCATAGGTTTTTTTTTCAATATATTATCAAAAGATTTGGTTAATTCTCCATGCAAATTTTACTACATCTTACATTGGGATTATCTCTTAACATTTTTTTCCTTACCGTCGGGTCTTTTGGAAAAATCAATAAACGACAAACGTTGCCATATTTTTAATGCGGTGTCATTTAAATTTTATGCCATTTGATGTCAAGGAAACGATTTTTAATGCCAGAAAAAAATACTGTTCTGGTTTTGTAAGCTTCGTTAACGTTTTTCTGACGTAAAGTTTTATGTAATTAAATTGTTTTTCAGTGTTGTAAATATGTGAAATTCATCACGCATACAGGAAACCGTGTGTTCAAAATACTTTATGTAATGCTACAAACCAAAATATCGACTTTTTTTTTCGTAAAAATGATACTTTATCCGCTTATTGTTTAAATGTCAAATGTGAAAATCATTATATTCTCTATTTATATACTGTATACATAGGCTACTTGTATTTTTTCCACGATTTACTCAACCTAATTGCCAAATTATCTACCTGGAATTTTAAAAATAAAATACTAGAATAAATTATTATACGTTTTATATGCAAAAGACACGATGGCGAAATATTTTTACGGAGCATTTATGTTTCAAATAGGTTTCTAGTGGATTCAGTGGCGCTTTATAGCTTCGTGAGGCCCAGGAAAATTTGAATTACAGGCCCTCGCACGCAGTGTTGAGTTCAAACATTTTTCTTCGGGAGAACTTTTTTTTTGGGAAAGATTTCATTATAAAAGATTGGTTTGGGGCCCCAGGCAATCGCTCTTTCTGCCCATAGGATAACGCGCCGCCGAGTGAATTATATATTAACATGTCCCGAAGGCGATATGCAAAAATTACAAATGGCAACTGTCAGATTGTAATCAATTTAATACGCGTGCAGAAAAAAATTTGCTGTCAGAATTTTTGATATTTTTATCGTTATGACATTTATTGATTTTTCAGAATTGTTCCTTTATTAGAAAATGAATTTATCGACCATTTTATTATTCCGTTTTACAGATTTGATTTCTCGATATTCCATGTATTGAATAGTTATACAAATTAATTTTTTTTTTATCATCATTTAGGCATGGGCATCCACAGAAAATTTCCCAGGGTGAGTTGGAGACAAAATAATTTCATCAATAAATTATTTAATTTTGGAGGTTTCATAAGCATATTATACTTGTAGAATACAACATTGCATCAATACAAAAAACATCTTTTCTCAAACAATCTTACACTGTCCCACGGTGGGGCACTTGCCTCCCTCTGCGGACCCCATGCATTTAAGCCTACGACTGTACTGAATTCCATAAATAATATGAAAATGTAATCCATTAAACTCTTACAAAATTGTAATAATCACAATTTTCAAAAATAATTAAATGATAATTTTAAGAATTATGTAAACTGTAGTGTTACCTAATCTCGTTATCGGCTAAAAATATTAGCAAATATTATTAAAATCATCATTTTGTAAAAGTGGAGAAAGAATTTCGCAGGGATAAGTTCAATGCACTCAGCTTTTTTACTTTGAAAGCAGCGGTCGAAAAATACAGTACAACAAACACTCATACAGCACTTCTCGATTTATAAAAATACACATCTGAGCAAATGAACAGAAATAAGCATTTAGAATTTGTGGCAAATGATGAAATCTCAAATAAAGTAGTATTAGTATTATATAAATCTATAAAAAAAAACAACTCAATAGCGATAAAACTGGCAACAGAAGTTTCAGACTGGAAATCAATAAATTGTGCCGTTCGACAAGCTGCCTCTTCATACAGCTACTCTTAACCATTTATATAATTATAAATAAATAAATTCGAGACGAAAAATACACGGAAGCATCACGTTACATAATAATTACGCTGACACCACGCATACAAGTAAATATTCTTGGATAATAACAAGAAAAGAATTTCAAATAGCAGTACATCTATTGTGTTACGTCAAGAAATTTTTAAAAAAATGGAATTATCACGTACAGAAGGAACCAATTCGGAACACGTCACGCATTTTAAAACAGTTCTGTAACAAGTGAAGCTTTTCGAATATTTTGGCTGTGGACCTAACGTTTTCGGGAGAGGAGACGTAGTACGTAATAAAATTCAAAACTGCACAATAATAAATCATGTTTTCAATCCAATACAAGTTCAAAGACATACCAGAATTAAAGCTTATGAAATAATAGAAAGCCACCGCTCACTTATGGCAATAAAATATGAATAATTCAGGAAGAGGGATGAAGGACGATTCATTTTAGCTGAAAGGAAATTCTTCGTAAGAACGTCGACTACTACTTGATAAAATTTAAAAAATGAAGTCAGTAAATAACGTCGAAATAACCCTAATAACAGAATATATACCCCACTATAACGTATACCACAAAGAAGATAAAACTGGATTACAACAGAGGATCTTTAGATACATCTCCAGTGGATAGAGATTACAAGAAGACCAAGCAAAATGTAATAGAAGATAATAGGATTTTAATTGTCTTCTCCTTTTTCTGTACACTGTATATCTTATATTTTTTTTAGAAATATAAAATATATGACAGATTCCTTATATATAAAACAAACTTTTCTTCATGATTTACGCTTCTTGAACATCGGAGTTATCATTCAATTAGATTTATAAATATCATTTTTTAAGTATGGAAAAGGTTAAAGGTCGCTACTCCTGGCTTTAAAAACTAAACTGCTCCGTTAAAACAATTAAATTATAGAAAAATTCGCCATCTTCTTAAATCAAATCTGTTTTATGAGCATCGTAACACAGAGTTACTCCATTAAAAAATAAATAAATTGAATGCTTGATATGGACATGAATTAAAACTGTATCGGAAATTCAAAAACAGGTATTATCTCTATGGTTTTTTTCGTTATCTCTTGTAGAAGTATAATGGATTTTTCCTTTCTCTCCCCAATTTCCGGAACGAATTTTACTCATTGTAAAAGCCTACTACACAAGCCTACTATAATAGCTGATCTGCTTCCGGAAATGCGTTATTATTTCTTTTAATATAATGACGCATTTCCGGATTGGATCCATCCAGAAAATCAATAGAAACTATAGTATTAAAAACCAGAACTTTTTTTTATATTAATTTTTAACCGTTAGGCCTTTAACACACGCAAATATTTTATAAAGAACGTACAGTACATCTGTACGTAAATACAATGCTTTAAAAATTTATTTTTTAAGCTGTATTGATTAGGAAATGAATACATTTAAAAAGAACATTTGTGTCTACAGAAATCATGTTTAAAATTAACTAATTTAAATGAAATCATCTTTTGTTACTTAATCGTATTCAAGTTATAAGATTTTGCCGTGTTTTTATACTGGATAATTATAATTAACCGTTTAATGAATCGTTTAAACTTAATTATTTTCGTAAATTAAGTAGGAAACTGATTGATTAAAAATAATTTATTAAAGTGGCAATCATTTTTGATTGCCACTTTAATAAATTAATGCGAATTAAATTAATAAAACTGTTTAACTGAAACCATCACTAGTAGCAACACTTCATTAAATTTTATCTAATTTAATTTATACAAATTTGAATTAATACTTTGTTAATGTGTATCAAATATTAATAAAATACAAGAAACTTCCAAAGAATTAGATCAAAATTCTAAAATAAATTAATTTTTTTTTTAAGTGGGAATCAGCCAATAGATCTTAAGATAACGAATAAATTTAGCAATTAAAATTATAAGGAACTTAAAAAACTAACAAACAAACAAAATAGGAAACTGTGGAGACTTTGGAGCCATCTCTTCATAACTTGATACGGAAAAAACTATTTAGAGAAGTATCAATTACAAAAAAACTGGCTCCAAAGTCTCACATTCACTTCCTGTGAGAAATGAAGGCACATTAGCATTACTATAATTACTATTATTAAACTATGTAGAATATAACTAATTGATAATTATCTCTTATAAACAGTGGTATGGTCTTTCTTCCAACGAATAATCAAAATATATCGACATTTTATATTTATGTAGTCTGTTTATGTAAATACGTCGGTGATTTATAGTAAAAAATGTTTTTTTTTTCTTTTTTTTTAATCTTTGAACTTGTGTACAATTTACTATATATCGAGCTTCATAACCCGTTTTAATTCTAGCAATTTCTATGGAAAAATATTTATTACATCACAATAATCTAAATAGGTAATTTTTGATATAAATACTAAACTGTAGAGCAAGAAATAATAATACTAATAATAGCAAATTCATAATATTTATTTATTTAATCTAAATTCTGAATATTTCTTGTATTTTCTTCGTTCTATTTTAATTATTATCAATTATTATTATTATTATTTTAATTATTTTCTTAGTTGTATTTTATTTATTCTTCCATTTTATTCGCTAAAATTAATTAATTCCTTTATTTTCTTCGTTCACAATAAAGTTTTTAACTTTTCTATGTATGAAGAAAATACAATAAAATACAAAAAATTAAGAAAGAATACTGTTTTTTTTTACAAATTTAAATGTATGTCATAGGTATGCACAAATTAATTTTTACGGAATATTAATTAATTAATTAATTAATCTATTGAATGAGGTCTATACACGAATTTGGGAGTCCGAAATTCAAGTGATTTGGTGACAAAAATAGCCTCACGTTTAGTTATTCACGGGTCCCCTACTAAATATGTATGAGAAGATCTGTTCGCAAGTAATTACTAGCGCTATATCGAGGTTCGACTGTATTGAAGTTTAAACATCTTATTTCATTTCAATGATGCTTTTCTGTTTTAAGAAATTCTAGAAGATTTTCATCTACGTAATTTTACGTTATGTGAAATAATTTCGGAATTTCTCAAGGTGACCGATCTTAAACAAAAAAAAGGAGGGAAAAAAATACATTATCGTGAGAGTCCAGCAACTAGAAATCAATCGATTCCTTACGAAATAGAAAATCGATACTGTATTAAACTTTCAAGAACAGCTGAAGTCTAAAGTGAAGACGTTCAATTCTCTAATCAGAGATTTTTCTTAATCATAAAACTGCGTTACTTCCACGAAAAAAAAAATTTCCTGCAACGAGTTGCTTAACTTTCACGGCAACATTTACTGGCGCCATCTGTTACGATCTTTTATTTTAGTTTTTTTTAAAATACTTTTAATTATTATAAAATGGCAGAAAGCTTTTTAAGAATTTTGAAGGGACAAGTTTTATAAAAAAAAAAATTGTAAATGCTAATAACGAGTAAAATCGTCATCAATTAAGTCCCATCTTACTGGATATAGGCCTACACACACGACTCCCTTTATCTTCTCACCCCTCGACCTATACTCACCAAAATTTAATAGGATCGAATCCTCCTAACGAACAAACCTCCATTCCAAATTTCAAAAATTTTCGTCAAAAAGCACAGGAGTTATTAAGCTTAAATCAGGGTGAACAAAACACACACATACAGAAAAAAAAACCTTCGAATTCTTTTGTATTTCTCCACGTTTCAAGGTGTCTTGAGTATAAAAATGTAAAAATCTAGAGGGGTCATTTTTTGCCGGATCGCCATACTTTCCCTCTGTTTTAACAGCCGGGAAAGTAAAAATCTGTACACTAAATTTCATAGGTCTAGTTTCATAATTTACACATTAAAAAAAATATTCCAGTAAATAAATTTCTACAATAGATAGCATCCAAATGGCCCATAAATCAAAAGTAATTATTTATATGAATTAAACTTTTGCGTGTTTTAATCACGCACCGATCGATACAGGAGTTCATTGACGCCTACAAATGGAAAAGTGGACATATAATTAGGATGATCCGGAGGGGAAAATCTGAACTGTTTCTTTAAAATTTCATTAAAAAATAACGTAAATAATATATATTTTTTAATTTGTTTATTTAAATCAGTTATCGCAATCTGAAAGTGTTATTTATAGTTTCCTCCTCCGAACATAATCGACCATCGATGAAAGCAAACTTGAAATTTTCAAATATTGACTTTTTGATTTTTATTTCATTCAATTTTAATGAGTTTTTCTATTATATTATTTATTTTTATTATTTTCTTCCATTTACAGCATCTTCGTCTAAGTAAATTTTAAAAAAATTCAGACAAGATTTAACTGTTACAAGTTAGTCTACCTTTTATGTATTTTTCTTTTTTATTCGCTTTAAATAATAAGGACATTTATTTTATTTTTTTTTCTTACTTTATCCAATGAGGAAAATCGGAGTTTTCTCCTAAATAAAGATCCACGTCGTAAATTATCGAGTATTTTTTCTGAATAATTGAAATACAATTGTGTAATGCAGTATAAATTAATTAAAATCATTTATTCTGCTGCTAAAATTATATAAAATAATAATATTTTACATATTACAAAACTAGCAAATTCGTCTAAATCCATTTCAGTGAATATTTAAGCTTATCTAAAAAAATCTAGCAATGAGTTGCATAACTTTTCCAGCTTTTATTGAGATTTTATTTTAAAAATAACATTTATATTATTAATCAAAATAAATAATTCAAATTGTATGTTAGTGCTCCCACACACACTAACATCCATACACAGAAAGAATCCCGCTAACAAGGGCCTCGAGTCCAAAAATGTAGGACCATTTTTTGACCAATCGCCATAATTTTCCTGTTTTACATAGACATAACAGAGGAAATTAAAAATCTATAGGTATTCATGATGTATATACAGTTATAGGTACAAAGAACAGTGAAGAAATATGATCTGTATCTATTTTGGCGATTATTTAATTACGTTTTACACAAAATTCACATTAATTTCATTACAAAATAACAGAATGCAACAGATAATTTCAGTACAGAGTAACAATAACAGATTTCACTAAACACTAACAAACCAAGTGAATATAAATACTGTATTCGTATAAATTGGGGATTTTTTTTTAAAGGATTTACAATTTTCCAAAACAAAAAAAAAAATGGCCTTCTTGGTAACTGTCACTGGCCTTGGAGTTTATTTTTCGTTAAGGACTCATTACCGGTGACGAGGAAAATGCCAAATTCTACCCCTACACGTACTCAAAAATAAAATATGTAAGATGCTCTTTACATCGTTAGATGATAAACTTTAAATAATTAAAGATTAAACAACAAGGGCATCTCTTTTGTGATACTTTTAATCGCGAATTTAAAAAAAAATTCATCTTTAAAAAATATATTATTAATTTAATAAAAAGAAACTATAAAACAGACAAAATTTTCAGCCCACCCAGTGGCAGAGTGAATAAAAAACTCTCCAGCAACGAGTTGCTTAACTTTCCCGGCAATATTTGGTGAAGCCATCTGTTACGATATTTTATTTTAAGAACTTTTATATATTTTTAACTATTATAAAATGGCAAAAAGCTTAATATTAAGGGTAGGGATGGGTTTTATTAAAAAAAGAAAAAATTGTAAATGCTAATAACGAGTAGTCATTAAGTCAGATGGAGATACACACGACCCCTTTATCTCCTCACCCCCTCGGCCTTTAACCACCAAAATTTAATAGCATCGATGCTCCTAATAAACGAACTTCTCTGCAAAATTTCAGAAATTTTCGATAAAAACCAAAGGAGTTATTAAGCTTCAAACAGAATGAACAAAATTGTGCCCCTCCCACCCACACACGCAAATATTCATACATACAGAAGAAACCCCTGCATTTTTTTTATTTCTCAACGTTTTAAGGTGTTCTGAATTCAAAAATGTAAAAATCTGGAGAGGTCATCATTTTTTGCCGGATCGCCATACTTTCCCTGTTATGTATAATAGACGGAAAAGTAAAAATCACCGAACACTGGTAAACTTGTCGCGGGTTCGCGCCTCACCAACGGGTTGGCCATGAAGAGTTTTCGGAATTTTCTTCACGTTTGTAACACC